AGGCCGAGGGCGGTGCCCTGGATGAGGGGGCGCTGGTCGAAGCGGCAGGGGTCGCGGAGGGTGCAGAGGGCGCGCCGGCGCAGCCCCCAGTGCCCCCGGAGCCGGCCCCCGGGGCCGCGTCCCCACCCCCACCGCCGCCCCCTGAGGAGGACGAAGAGGCGGCCGTGCCCCTACTGGGCGGGGCGCTGGAGCGGCAGATCCGAGGCATCCCGGGCCTGGACGTGGAGGCTGATGACGACGACGAGGAGGGCGGGGGGCGCGCTCCATGACCCGGGCCTGGGGCGGGCGGGGCCCGCGTGGCCGAGGCTGCAAGCCGAGTCTAATAAAGTTCTTCCCATCTTACCTCTTCCTCTTTTGTCTATGTGCGGCGCGGTCCCCGTGGGCGGGTGTCGGCACCTAGCCGCTAGGCTGTGTGTGCCTGCGGGTGGGGCCCGGGAAGGGTGGGTTGCGCCTGCGCACTGGCGGGGAGGAGAAGGGATACGCCTGCGAGCAGCGAGGCACCGCGGTCTGGACCAAACTCCCAGGGTGCTGTGAACCCCGATCCACAACAACCGGAAGGCCAGCTGGGGTGGTAAGGGCGGTCCCGCTGTGAACTCCAGCCAATGGTAGCCCGTGGAAGGGGTGACACATGCGTCTGGTCTACCAGTAGAGGACGGCGGGAAGTGCGTTGAGCGCATGCGTCCTGTGGTGGCTGAGAAAAAGGAGCTGCTGGCGGGCTGAGCTGAAGACATGGAGCAGGGCTACGGAGGTTAGTGTGGGCAACTCAGTGCGGGGTGGGACCGGCAGGTGGTGCCCGGGCGGCAGGGCCACCGCCACGCAGAGGGCTGCGGGCGGGGGACTACACCCGAGCTCGGTTACCGCAGTCCGGCCCTGCGGCGAGGCGGCAGGGGCGCGCGCGCGCAGCTTATTGGATCTCGGCCCCGTCGCTCCCGGGGCGCTGCGTGCGGATTGGCCGACAGGGCCTGAGGAAGTTGGCAGATTTCGGCGTGCCGACGCTGCGGCGGGCTTCGGGGGGCGCCTCAGGCGGTTGGGGCAGTTTCAGTTCCTTAACCCCGGCGGGGTTGGCCGGGCCCTGCGGATCCTCGCCGCTAGCAGGCTTGCTGTCCCTTTTGGAAGACGCCACAAAATGGCGGCGCCGGGGGGCGGAGCTATGGCGCGAGTTTGTGGGGCGCGGGGTCTTCGGCCGGGGGCCGAGGTGGAACCGCTGCCTCCTTCCGGGCCGTCGGGCCTGTCCGGGGACCTGTGGGGCTTGGCTGGGGCCTCCGCGCGGCACACGTGACCTGGGGCGCCGGTCCCGGAAGCCGTATGGGCGGCGCAGGTTTGGACCCCGCCAGGCCCGCGGTGCAGAGCAGCGGGGCCCTAGTGCGGCCTCTGCAGTGGTTAGCCTCACTGGGCGCCTACCGCGGACCTAGCTCGTGCAGATCGGGGACGACACATTTAAGGGTCAGATGCGGGGTATCTTGGTCAAAGCTTGGAAACCCGATGAGCTCTGGGGTCGTGACAGATTGGGGGCTTTCCTTAAGGCAGTCCTTTGTGGTGGCCTGGAAACGCCAGAGGGGCTGTCTGAGAGGGAACGTGCCCTTACTGACTTGGGTTTCAGGGCCTGCGGCAGGACGGCAATCTGCTCTCAGTCTTTGGAATCTGAGCCTCCTGGGAGGCCTTTGCTCTATGCTGGAAGCCGCGTTTGCCCGCAGGGAACAGTTGGAATATGCAGGGTTGGGCTTGACCCGGCGCAGATCCCTATTCAGGTATCTGAGGTTCGAGAAGCGAGCGATCTGATCATGGCTGCCGCCGCGAAGGCGCATGTTTTGAAAGGTGGCAGCATTAGCAGGAGGCCAGCAGCAGGA